GTCAGTAGAGTCTGAAGTTCCATATCATATAACTTTAATATAAGGTGGAATTGAAATATCAAATCCACCCTCTCTCTTTTTCCGGGTTAAACTCTAATTTAAGTATTTGTTTGTTTTAGATACCGAGAACTTTGGTTTATCATTAGTCAAGTATAGTTTGGATTTCTTAGATCAATTCAGTGTAACGGTAACTATCTTACTTCCTTAATTACTCATCATTACAAAGTGAATAGGAATTTGTACTATTGTATCCCTTGTCATAGTAATGTTTCAGGAACCTTTTATTTATTTAATTTTACAGTTTATTAAAAAAAAAAACTTGATCGTATAGAACTGGTTATTTTCACTGCTTTTAATAATTGATTGGATGAACTTGTACATAGGGAGATAGTAGTGGCTGATGTTAGAGCTGGATTATTATGACTCTGGTTGTAACATGAATAGTGGGTTGATGGATGAGCGAGAGAGAGAGAGGTTTTACAGTGGGGGGCTGTCAGACCACCACACGGCATTTAGCATTTGATGGGAGACTCGAGAACAGTATTGGTTTAAGTTAGAGGAGAGAATTATGGAGAACAGAACAGAAGTGATAAACAGCAAGAATTTAAATCGAGATGAAACAAGACACTAAAAATAGGATATCTGATTTATTTAAGGTTATACGTAGAAGAAAATTTGTGTAAAAGTAGTAGAAGAAATACGAAGCCAAGGCAAAAAAAAAACACACAAAAAAACGAGAAGGACGGAAGCAATTTGATGGTAACCGATAAAGGAGCAATCCAAGCAAAGAGCGGATCTAGATAGCGGGAAGGAGGGGCGGGGCGGGCGGGGGAAGGGAGGGAGGGGGAAAGATCCGTTCCTCAACCCCACCCACCATGGTATTGGGGCATGAGGAAATTTACATATTAAAACTTTATTCCCTCGCGAGAAGTTTTTTAATCAGAATTTAAGGAAAACATGAAGCGTAGTAAATGATGAGACCTGATGATACGTGTGAAGTAATCGATAGCTAAAGACATTGTAGGTATAACAAGGTGAGGAAGACAGCGAACAGTACTGAAGGAAAATTAAAGAGGCAATGGTTGAAAGCAGGGAGGAAATATAATTGTGATGGTTAAAGAGAATGGCATGAAGTCTTAGCACAAGGAAGAGTTATATCGAGGAATTGGTAAAGAAAACGGGAGAGGGTATTCAGGTATGACGATGAGAATTAAAAATGAAGGAAAGATCTTGTAGAATAAATGAATGTTTCGATGGACAGAGGAAACCAAATAGTGAATGATCGCTGGTAGTCTTTCAACAGAGAAGAGTAAAAATGCAAAGTATGCATTGAAGATGAGAGGTGAAGTAGGTGAGGGAGAACTCTCAGTGAGGCGGTGAGAAATAAAAATGGATGTTGAGGTATTGGAAAGAATCCCTCGAGGGCAGGCTGGTGGTAGGTGTTCTAAACTGAGATTGAAAATATAATGAAGTCCTTTGGCATTCTTAGTTCATTCTACTGTGTGTGGTGAGGAATGTAATGATGGACTAAATGAACAGTAAGACCTGAGGAGTGAGATTTGTTTAGCTGTCTGTATCCTTAATGGAGATGTTAGTGTGAACAATGAACAAGTGGATGAAAAATAGGATATAGAGAGGAAAGACAAAGAGAGAGAAAACGGGAGAGAAAAGTGAGGAGGTATGTGGAGGGACGAGTTGGACGGGAATAGAAACGCTATGAAATAATGGAAATAAATATATATCTCCTGTCGTTTATAGTCAGATTATCGGCTAAATAATAATGGGGCATTATTAATATCTTGTCCCTCGAAACTATATGTAATTAGTTGATTCTCCTTATATTAAGTGACCAAAACCAACGGTACGGTGACGGAACAGTTATTGAGCTGGGTTGGCGACATAAAGGTTGCGAGTTGGAATCTCCACCGAGGAGTCACTGTTTAATTGATATCCAATGGGAGCGACTACCAGACCGTGTCCCCACCGGCCTGTCGTAAACCCCCAGCCTGTTGACGGATGTTCAGAGCCAAAAGGGAAGATGTAACCATCCCATGTTAGTCTGTGTGAATTATGTGATGGCATTTTCATGTGGCTGACACTATTGGTTGACCCGAACGTTCATTAAACAGACCCGCCCGTTTCTTTCATTAATAAAATTGATAGAATAGTAACAATATCACGAAGAAGAGATGAAGTATATAAAGCATCAAATGTCTTTTTTTTCCTAGTATTTAATAATTAATGAATCTTACAAGTACTCGGCCATCGATGTGGTAGCCAATAAGTGGAGGTCTTCCGCCTGGCTCGGCTCGTGTCGTCAGGCGGATGCACAAGTTGGTCCACACACCGCCCATAATACGTATCGCTAACTTGTAATATGAAATCAATTACTCGTAGAAATGCCCTCTCCGATGAACTCGGATCAATGGATCACCGAGGGGTCCAGGCTTATTGGGTTCCCTCAGGCCTCAACAACCCGGGGTATTGGAACCACAGAGTCGGATGTAATTACAACTGGATGAGCCTCCAGTCTCCAGAAAGCCCCCACCAAACGGCGATGACGTCATAATTTAGCGGTGAGAGATCAAAGCGATCAGCTTTAGTGATCCTGCGATTATTGCACGGGCGGCTCTCCCTCCCTCTGTGCAAGGGACTGTATTGGCCAGTGTTGCTGCGCCAGGGAGTCCTGAAGGAACAAGAGGAGTGTATTGTAGAGACCCGCGTGTACTGCTGTTGCTAACAACAACACGACTGGCTGCGTATTATATTGCATTCCCTGTGAGGACGAGTTGGTGTGGATTGCGATGCATTCACTGCACGAATGAGTTTCGTGGAAGTGCTGATGCAAGGCAACCAACTTTACCTTGCAGAATAGCTACTTCCCTTGTCGTTGCTGATGATACAGGCAAGGAAAAAAACAATTCCTCTGAATAACCACGTAAGAAGCTGACTTTCATTACTCTTTTTTTCCTCTCATTCTCTTTCTGCACCCGACATCACAGTTCTTATGTTCCTTTGAAGGGAGGAGGCGCATTGGGAGAGTTTTAGAAGGTGCAACAAACAATGCACAGGTTGCAGGTACATATTCTCTGCAGCCTTTACTTTCAAGAAGAAGCGGGCTGGGTCGAGCATCGCGAGATTGCCTCCTTATTGTCTCTCCACTCACAAAGAAGACCCCTGAACCCTTTTAGTTGCCCAGTTGAAATAAAATTATATTTCCAAATCTTACAAATTTAGTTTTCTTTAATTCTAAATATAGAACAGCGTGGAGGTTCTGCCTTACCGATGGCGCAAGAGTTCTTACCATTGGCTCAAATATCATCAGAATGAGACCGATTGGCCAAGACTCGCTTGGTGTAATTAGTCAACGTCTCCCTGCTCTTTGATCTCTGGATCAGATATCTGACTCGTGTCAATTTCCCATTTTTTAAAGTCTTACTATTTCTGTGTGTGTGTGGATGTCCGTGGGAAATACTCCTTTGATCACAACCATATGATCATTATTTTGTAATTAAGACAGTCGTGATGAAACAAGGAATACTGTTTTGTATAACGTTTTGACTACCCCACTTATACATACAGAACAACCATGTACAGACAAACACACACACACACACACACACACACATGTAAAGCAGTCTTGCACACACACACACACACACACACACGCACGCATGTAAAACAACCATTATAAGAAACACCTTTCAAAATTGTGTTTGGTGCGATATTTAAACAAACTTCTATCAGGAATATTTTGGTGTCATAATTCACTCACCCGATCACGACTGAATTTCCAACTCCACGAATTATTTCCCACCACGAAGGTTCTGATTTTCCTTTCTCGCATGACGCCTTTAATTTGGTGCCAATTTCGAAGCTGGAACCCACTAAATAGACCAATTCCGTTACCTAATTGGTCGCTGGGAAGGCTGTTGCTTCCACTGATTGCGTACTTGTTGTCGTTGCTGCTTAAGCACAGTCTCTGAATTCCGTCCCTTGTACTTCGAGCGTTTGTTCTCGTCACTCCAATACACACGTCTTACAAAATAGAAAATTGATGCTACTAAAGGTATGTATTTCATGTAGGACTTGAAACTTTGGCATGTATGTGTGTGCGCGCGCGCGTATGTGTGTGTGTGTGTGAGAGAGAGTGTGCGTGCGTGTGCACCAGTGTGTGTGTGTGTGTGTGTGTTTGTGTGTGTGTGTGTTTGTGTGTTCGAAAGTAGTAGTCGAGCTTGTTCAATATGTCTGGCGATGGTGGGGTGATGCAACTCTCTCAGCTTAAGGCTTTAGGGGCATAGTGTGTTGGACAGTTCATTATCTTGTGTATTTGTTCGTATAAATTTCAAAGCCGATTCATCCCCCCCCCCCTTCCCCCGTCACCCTCGGTAGTCTCTAGTTATCGCTGTCACTCGAAGTAAGGGATAAGGACGCAGCCTCATACTTTACAATAGTCGACGATACCAAATCCAATTCTTCTGACCATAGGGTGAATATTCGTTAAATTGGTTCAATTTGATCTTTTTTTTTTCCATTTTTTTGATAACCTTTGCCTACCGCTATGATTATCAATTTTGAAGGACGGACTCACTCGCTGTCATTAAGATAAATTTTTCTTAATAGAAGACACGGATCACTCTATATAGGCACTGTTGGCATGATGCTTGACAGGCGTACCATCATTTCTGTAGTGATGTTTTCAGTTTTGGTTATGTTTTAATATTCTTAAATAATATTGATTTTCTTAAACATCCAAGAACTGATTAGAATTTATTGTTAATTACGATGGTTTGTAGAAATGCATAAGGAACATAGACACAGAATTGTTTATATATATATACTCTCTCTCTCTCTCTCTCTCTCTCTCTCTCTCTCTCTCTCTCTCTCAAAGCAAGATAGTTAAATCGAACCAACACGAATTCCTCAATATCAACTACATATTCTAAAAGACGAAATCGGCAACGTCCAGAAGAGGCAAGAAAGAACTGTCTGATACTCACTGATGACGGTAAAGTTAACTATTGTATTCTTGGTGGGGGACAAGAGGAAATCGACCCTGCAGCGGTAGGTGGCCTCGTCTCGGTCCTGGACGGGGAACAGTTCCAGGTGAGCTCCGGGGGCCGAGGAGCCTCCCCAAGAACTGCCAGGAAGCAGCTTGAAGTACGCCCGCCGTCCAAGCAGCCTCTCGTCCGACCAGTGTTTCCCTTTTTCTATCGTCCTCCCTCGGGCGTCGAAACTGAGAAGGGGAAACAGAGAGACGTATAAGTATTGTATAGAAGAGTCCACATTGAAGTAGTCGGGAGGAATATTGAGGAATACAAAACGTGAGGATTATGGAAGAAGGTTCTAATTGATACATACATATACAGGTATATGGAGAAGGATATTTAATTTTTGTTAACTGTTCATAGTCAATCCAGATTGTGGTACTGATACGAGAGAGTATCAACTATGGAGGATATTGAAAGGTTAAACAAATTAAAACTTTCAGAGTATTTTATTTGTCCCTGCCTAACAAATGAGTGACAAAGGCAGAGGAAGAGAGAGAAAGAAGTAGATACATAGAAGACAAAATGATGATAAGTAAATTCACAGGAAACACCGAGTGAGGAGGATCATTATTTAGGCAATGACGTAAGAGACTTTTATTTTGACATCCAGGTAAATCAGATAAATTATGACCAGAAGCTTTAGTGGTGTTACATGTTGCCAAAATAATACTTATTAAGAGGGGGAATAAACACACCACACACACCACACACACCACACACACACACACACACACCACACACACACATATATACATTCATTGGAACACTTTTATGTGTAGAATATAAATAATTATTTTAAATTTAGAGACTGTATGCACATGTATGTAAAATAATTACCATAAATAAACGCATTCAAATCCAGTATTACATGGTATTTGTAATTTTGAAAGAGTTTAAGCAGATTTAATGTTTGAAACTTATAATAACAGAATTAAATATATAAATTTGACTGATCCGGAATTTAAAATATTGTTGCGTTATTTTCCATAATATACGAGGGGTTTACATTAAAATAAACAAATAAATTGATGAACATGAAGCCTTTTCATAATATTTTCGAGTGCATAACAATCCTCTTTCTGACGCTTGGTGTGTAAGTGTAAGTGACAGGAAGCTCTTGAGTTGACTTTTAAACACTATAGGTCAGGTCAGGTCAAGTTTGGACAAAGTTTAAAGAACATATAAATGATACAGCTGTAGGCCTAAATTATATCCTATTTGCTCACTTTTCTTATCGCAATTTCTCTTAAGTTCTGTCTATTAATTATCAGCAGAACCTCATTCAAAGTTTGAGTAATAATGCCTGATTATCCACCACCACCATTCACCTGTTTCTCTTCACTTACGATAAATAACGAGGATTATTACCTTTATTTAAGGTAAACAGATGAATAGATTGACATTTACTCAGGATAATGATCATACAAATTGAAATCGGTTCAACATGTATACATAGACAATATACAGTACATAAACAATGTGTAAGTATATAAACAATGGTAAACAATTTGCTGAGTCACTTAAGGTTACCAAGAAAGTTGTAAGAAAAGTATATATACTTTTGTGTCTACAGATGTCGACTGGTTTTCTCAATAAACTATAAAGGGTCTTCGTGTTAGATACATCACACTCTCAGGCGACACTATGGGCAGTTTCTCTCTCTATATTACTGTATAACTTCAAGACGAGATGAGAGTATATATATGTCAGGTTATAACAATTATAGTATTTGTGATTACTTGCGTTTCTTTCTCGTTTGATACTCGTGTATTAGTGATCTTTACCTATAATTATCAACTGAGATTTTATAAGACAGACAGACAGACACAGACACAGCGAGAGAGGATAAAACCGAGGGAGATATGTTATTATAAAATACCTTTGGCAGATTAAGCTCATTGGGTCGTTTTCACAAGTTATGAAACTGAATTATTTCGGCTCCTTACAAGGGCTTCTTTCACCCCTGACTGAAGATTGGCAGTGTTGGAAATTACGTTTACTTTGCTGTCTAGGAATTCACTAAGTTGAATGATCCTTTGTGTGTGTTTGTTTGGTCTTTTAGTCGTAGGCGGGGAACTATAGATGATAATAACACGGTAGGCTGTTTGGTTATGTGATATTTAATTAAAACTTATGTAAAATATCTCACATTTTTGGCTCTGAGGAAACCCAAGGGAAGAATTCTTTGACGGGATGTATACAGGTCTTCGTTCACACACACACACACACACACACACATGACCTCTAGAAATGTTATAGTTTGGTTCAGAAGTGATGTCCGTGTGTGATGTTATACAGTGATACAAACTCGAACACACGCAACATAAAACCTGTACAACACATGTTTCAGAACCCGACTAAAAGTTAAAGTGGAATCGTCACAGCCATTCATGTTTCATTATTGCATTTGTTCACCTTTTTTTTATAACTTTTTGTGTCATGAGAGCAATGGTGTTTGTAGATATACTCTTACACTCACAGTTCCCACCATATACGCGCGCGCGCGCGCACACACACACACACACACACACACACACACACACACACACACACACACATACATACATACATACATACATACATACATACATACATACACACACCTTACAGCTTTCTTACACGTCATTCTTGTTGCAGCTTTTTGTAATGTAATGTTTCCAACGTTATTAACATCGTTTGTTTTTAAATTTTTATTCTGTAATGTTTACTAATTGTTCAATTTCAAATTGTACGAGTTGAATGTTTATTTCTACTGAACGTTTATTTATTTTTCCTGAATATGTCTTTCATAGGCAACATTATAGAGGCTCGTCTCCCTCACGCAGATCGATGATGACAACCTCTCTTGAACCGTTTGGGCACAAAACCTCCTGAAATATGTATTTTGTATTGCATGTAATTGATTTCATTTGTTTTCATTAGAGTCTTTTGAAGTTTATTGTCCCTCGCTCAACAAAGTTCCCGTTCATTCATTTGTCAGCTAGTTCGTCCTTTTTTCGGCCTTTAAATATAAAATCGCTTCAATTAACGAGGAATAGTTTTGAACATAAATTTAAGTTCCTGGTAAAAATGTAGTTGTTTTTTAAAGATAGGAATATTCTTGTCTCAATAATATTACCCTAGTTTGGGACCTAATTGATTATATCATCTTGTTAACTTTGGTGTTTGAAGAATTGTTTAAATCTGTTACTTACGTCAGATTTTATCCACAAGCTCACTTATCTTCTCCTTTCTCAGGTTTCGATTTAAAGTCACTATTATCGTCTTTCACTAATAGATTCGTTCAGTCGTCAACCCATTCTGCTTCTTCGCTTATCTAATGTAAAAATTTATACGTGAGAATGATGGACTTTGTAGCGTGTGTTTTCGTCCGTGGTGGCTAAGACGATCGTTTAGTGTCGCCCTCTCATGGCCGTCGCTTCACCTGGTTTCCTCTTAATATCTACTTAAATTCAACTTTTACCTTCAGTTCTGGGTTTATCTCAATAAGACTCCCGCACTTTACCCCCTTCAGCAGGAGACTTAATCATGAGTATCGTAAATGAGTCTTTTATGATATCGTAAACCTTTGAATAAGATAACAATTAATCCCTCGAATATACAACGATAAAATACCTTGAATACAATGACTTGTAGCTAATACAATACTATAACAAATGGTTATGACTTTTCCAACATAACTTTTAGCCGTATGCCCAATTGAGTTATATTAATAGTGAGGCTTTTAATACAACACTTAAGGTTACGTGTACTGTTAAAGTTGCTGGATAGTTAATGTAGCCGGCTGTGTAAGTATCCGTCATTCATTTCCTTTTCGTACAGTGACACAGAAGTTTATCAGATGGATGAGAATCAAATGTGTCACGCACGTCCGGGTTGTGCCAAGTAAAGCTTTTAGTATATTAGGTTAAGTGTAGCAAATGTCAAAGGTGGAATAAATCTTCGAGTCCTCAATCCAGGATAGTTTTCGAGTCGCTCAGTTGTAAGGCCCTGCTGATGGCTTAAGGTGATCTTGAGGTCTTTGTTCTTGGGAATTGGGTTGTTAGTGATTATTGTGCTCGGTATATCCCTCTTCTCTTAGGCTTAACGATCTGTGTACATACCAATTACGATAAGAAGCCCGAGTCCAGTCTTTATCGGTAACCAATTAGTTTTCAATATCTTGGTTAACACAATCTCATTTCTGAACTTGTTTTGTTTCCCTGAGTATAATGATAAAAGTCTCTCTCTCTCTCTCTCTCTCTCTCTCTCTCTCTCTCTCTCTCTCGTGACCTGACCTGTTTTCCAAATCCTTATTGAACTTAATTACTCCCGACTCCAAGTGTTTTAGGGTTTCTTTCAAGGAAGGTGGTCGTAGAAGAAGCCTTTAATCCTAGAAGAAGAAAGAGGAGATGGATTAGGAAGAAAATAGGAGGGGACGGAGGAGTAGAAAGATGAGGAGAGGAGGAAGACGCAGAAATAAAGAGAAGGGGGAGAAAATAAAGAAAGAAAGAGGAGGAGGAGAATGCAGAAGAGGAGGAAGCAAAAAGAAAGAGGAGGAAGCAGAACGAAAGAGAAATATGCAAGAGATGAATATGTTAAAGGAAACTGAAGAAAGTGAGAAGAACAGTAGGAAACACCAGAAATAAGAAGATAAAAATAATACACACGATGAGGAGAGAGATAAAGAAGCAGAGGAAGAAAAGAAGAAATGATATGAGGAAAGGAACAAAAAAGGGAAAGAAAAACGAAAAGAAATAGCGATAAAGAAGAGGAACATCGAATAAAGACCAAAAAAAAGTATAAAGGTAGAAAATTAGAAGAAAAAGGAAGACAAGGAAGAAGAAATAAAAATAGAATACGAAAAACAGAAGAAATTGAAAAAATGAAAAATAATCTTCCCATATTTCATTTTACAGGCTTCAGGATAAACGAGGAACATGAATCAAGACATGGTTGTAAAAAAAATCCTTGATAAAGCAACAATCCTTCATCAGATCGTAGATAATTAATGATATATAGCAAAAAAATAATAGTAATCGGGGAGAGACGGAGGGGAGGGGGGGGGGCAATTAAGGGATAATGGTCGGTAGTTAAGGCACAGATAGATTAGGGGTAAGGCTTGTTACGGCTAAATTAAGACTATCCTCAATGCCTTGGGAACGACTTCGCTGGTTCACGTCTACTGGTGATCAACATAGTGGTT